GGCATGTGGTGCTGGGGGATTGAACCGCGGTCCCTGTGCTTTGCTAAGCTTGTTCTAAGTAAGTGCTTTAGACCACTGAGCCATCTCACCAGCCCGTTTTACTTCTTTTAATTAAAAGACAAGATTAATAAATCCTTAGTCTGTACTTTGATGTCACCTAAAGGCCATGAGATATCCCAGGTCTGTAAACCTAGGGAAAAGTTAGCAATTAGATCGTTTAAAAACTTGTGTCCTTTTAGTTCCTTTGCTAATACTTGCTAACATTGCAGAAAACAATCAAGATGAGACATGGGTGGTGGTGAGTGACCCAGCCCAGAGAAAAATCCTGCAGAAATGTCTCTCTATCCATCTCTTGAAGATTTGAAGGTAGACAAAGTACTACAGGCTCAGACTGCCTTTTCTGCAAACCCTGCCAACTCAGCCGTTCTGTTGGAAGCTTCTGCCCCCATCTCCCAAGATGGAAATCTCTGTCCCAAACTGTATCCAGAGCTTTCTCAGTACATGGGCTTGAGTTTAAATGAAGAAGAAGTGTGTGCCATGGTCCCTGGAGCGCCAGTGCAGGAGGTGGGTATATGTGTTCAGCTCGTTCAGGCCAACTCTCCAGCCTCTCTGGTTGGTCTGAGATTAGGGATCAAGTCCTCCAGATCAATAGTAAGAACTGCGTGGGCTGGAGTTCGGACAAAGCACACAAAGTGCTCAAACAGGCTTTCGGAGAGATTACCATGACCATTCGCGACAGGCCCTTTGAACGGGCAATTATCATGCACAAGGATAGTACTGGACATGTTGGTTTTATCTTCAAAACTGGAAAAATAACATCCATAGTGAAAGACAGTTCTGCTGCCAGAAATGATCTTCTGACTGAACATAACATTTGCGAAATCAACGGCCAGAATGTCATTGGGTTGAAGGATTCTCAAATAGCAGACATACTTTCAACATCTGGAACTATAGTCACCATAACAATCACACCTGCTTTTATCTTTGAACATATTATTAAACGGATGGCACCAAGCATTATGAAAAGCCTGATGGATCACACCGTTCCTGAGGTTTAGAAGTATGTAGCATGACAGAGACACAGCTGAACTTCTCCGGTTTCCCTCTTTGGCACCTTTGCATCATGTCCATGGAGCGTTCCTGGAGCAGGGAACTCATGCTGCATGAGGACCTTCCTGTCTCACATCATGGCTTGGAATTTTGACGGCTTTATCCGATACTGTCTTCAGAGATCAAGATAGCTATAGCCTTATCCTGGTTCTACATGTATAAAACTCTCAGAAGATGTATTGACTTTCCTAGAAGGGTTTCTGTCCTGGAAACCCGATGCTTTATAAACTGTGTTCTTAGGGTGATGCATGCAGGCCTGGCTTTGCATGAGAACCAGTCACGTTTGCTTTGGTAATGCCTATAGTGCTGTTCAGATGACTTTAGTTCTGTGGTATATTTGCACTCTCTACGTGTTACCATAGTCTGTTTAGTATGGTTGCCTCCAATGTTTCTAAGTTCTCCGTAAAACACCAATTGTTACACTGGTTTCATTCCACATAAGCATTATGCAGTGTGTGCAGGTTGTAAGAGATTATGATTATCTTTAAATTTTAACTACCTTCACTTAATATGCTTGACTGTCGCCTTAACTATGTTAAGCATCTAGAATAAAAGCCAAACTATAATTACTGCTGCCTTTTAAAGCCCCAAATATAGTTCTGTGTTAAATTGAAATGTACACTAGCCCAGAATGGTTTACTGATACTTACTGAGCTGTATAGCATAGCTGCTTATAGTTGAGATTTTTTAGTCATTGCGTAGTAGAAAACTAAAAGTTGCATCACTTTCTGAAAAACAAACCACTATACGTTAAATGTGAAAATCCTTACACTATACAGGATAAACCTTGGACTCTTTTCATGTGCAGATTAAGTGAGATAACATTTAATTTCAGCCCTTGAATCTTAACTTGTAGCCTAGTTACTTGGGGACGGCCTTAAGATGTTTTCCTGTTACAATGTTACTGATTACTCCCTGCAAAAAATGCCAATGACATTTGTCCTGATTTTTGTTTTATGCTTTCTAAACATGTAAAAATAAAAGATTTTTAATCTGAAAAAAAGAGAAAACAATCAAGATATATAGGCTGGGGAGATAGCTCAGCAGTCTAAGTGCTTACTTGGCAAGCGCAAGGACCCAGGTTCTGTCCCTGGTACTGCATGTGTGGTGGTGCATGCCTGTAATCCCAGCACTGGGAAGACTGAAACAGGAGGATCACTATGAGTCTGTAAGGTGTAGCAAGACGCTATACCAAATAAATAAATAAATAAATAAATAAATAAATAAATAAAAGACATCCTTTGCCAGAGAACAGGAGTGATGGTGAAGAGTTTTAACCCATGAGGCAGCTTCAGTCGCAGGCGTCATCTGTAGAAACCAGTGAAACTGGAGGGTTTATTCTCTTATGGCAGAAACAAGAGCAGCCGTCTTGGAATAAGGAATGCAAGGCAGGCTCAGGTACTGGCAGAAGTCATAAGAGAGAAGGAGTCCAGGAGACTGTCACAGGACGTACAAACTGAGCTGGGGGCCTTTCCTTATGGAAGAATGAAGTTGAGAACCAAAAAAAGAGTAGGAGAATTTTTTATTGAAATTAGGAGGGAAAAAAAGACTCCTGGTGGAATCTCTGCATGGCCCCTTGCTCCAGAATGTTTGTTTATCGATGAACAGGGCACAGACATTGCTTGTTTAGTCACCACCTACCACAGGTGACTCTGGAAAGTTAAAACAAGAATATTGGAAGTCAAGCTCTCTAAATCAGTCTCTTCGCATGTAGAATTTCAAGCACAATGAGACTCTAAAGACAGAACTGGTTATTTTTCATTTTAAACTGCTGGGAAATCAGGAGCTTAGTAGGAAGGGCTGCAAGTCCTGTAGCAGGATTCTGGTCCTAACCCTTCAAGGACAGTGAGGACTCAGGACATAAGAGAACCTGTACTGTAGCATCCAGTAACTCATTGGTGTCCCAAATTTTCTGATCAAGGAGATTAAGAGGCCGCAGAGAAAAGTGATTGACAAGGTAGAGTGTGCCCAAGGAGAGTCACCTGGAGAGAAGATATTCTCTCAGGCTTTCACAGAGAGCAAATTGATCAAGCGATGGCCGTGACACATCCACATGGCTGACACTGACAAAGGATCTACAAACTGCTGTACAGGGCTTCGGGATGAATCCTGAGGGGATTTGACTGACCTTGTCAGATACAAAAGTTACATTTCTTGTTATATAGGTCTTGCTTTATCTTGGTCTTAACCATCCAGCAGAAAAGCATAAAAACAAGGTATAAAAAGTCAAGCCATATTAATATGCCGAGCTGTAAGAGGCTCAAGTCAACAACCTCTGACATTGCCAGTCCTGTGGATAACCCACTACTATTGTGGACTACTGGACTATATTGGATTACTTTGCTGAATTCACACACCTACAATATTTGAATGGCAATGGAATACCTATCTCTGACAAAAGTAAACAAAAAGGGGGATATAAATGAATGACCATTTTATAGTGAAAAAATATATATATATCTGTATATACAAAGTAGTTAGCGCAGATATACAGCTACTTTCTCTTAGTTCAACAGAAGAAAAATTTGTACTAATAGTGTTTAGACAAGATTTCACATCTGCATCTTGTACCATGAATAACTACTACAAAGTCAATATGTAGTGTATTAATTATTGTAACTGTCCTACTAACCTGTTTTGAAACTGTCTCATTGCTATTTCTTTCTCAATAAAATTAATTTTAAAAAAAGAAAAAGGAAAGAAAAAATGTCCTTTAGCAGGAAGGGGCTTGTGATCTATGTTGCATGAGGAAGTGCATTGTTGGACCAATTCTAATTCTTATCAATATGGAAGATCACCCACCTCTGTCTCAGGCACTTTCCATAGCTAGATGGCTTATTTATAAGATAGTCAAACTATTCTTTTACACTATCATAAGCTACCTCCTCAGTCCTTTCTCATTTATTTATCTATTTTTGTGCTATGGGGATTGGACCCAGGGGTCTTCACACTGAGCTACATCCCTAATCCTATCTTACTAAGTCATTAAGTTGCTGAGGCTGGTGCTCAAACTTGGGATTCTCTTTCTCAGCCTTTCATAGCGCTGGGGTCATAGGCACTTGCCATCATTTTTAATTTTTAAAAATTTAAAATCAGGGTCTCCCTAATGTTCTTAGGTTAGCCTCCAACTTGTGATACTCCTGTCTCAGCCTCCCAAGTAACTGGGATTACGGGTTTGTGCCACCATGCCCCACCTAGCTTAATTTTTATATGAGAGGGAAAGGAACTCCTAAGTCATTATTTTGGGATGGCAGACTAAATTTATATGTTAATTTGTTTTGCATATTCGTTTCTGCTTCAGGGGCAGAATGGTGACATCTAGGGTATTGCTGCTTCATAATGAATAGAAAAGTTGTAAGGAATTTTAAAATGACATCATGAGGAGAGGGTGAGAACAGGAAAGCCATAACAGGTAAGAAAGAGCAGGAAGTCACAGCTGACCACTGTGAGCACAGGAGTGCTCCCCTCTATCTACTGCTGTAGAGCAAACTGTTTCCTCCTAAACTTGAGCAGGAGGCACTTACTCTAGGAAGGCTTGCTCCCTCCCTTGCCTGGCTCCCACTTCCAAGCATGAACGCACTTTGCTCCTCATCCTACCCTGAGAGTCATCTAGTATCACGTCTGCTGCATCTACTCATTACAAGCATTCCCCTAAGGATAGTTCATATCCAAGGCAAAGTAAAGTTACGCCTGATTTTTCTTTTTTTACTTTATATATTTAGTACAGGGTCTACAGACTCTCACTACACAGACCAGACTCGTAGTGATTCTCCTGTTTTCAGCCTCCCAAGCGCTAGGATTACAGGTGTGTATCCCTATGCCCCATCTCAATCGCCATCTCAGTGCGCCCCGGGGGTGGGGCCAGCACAGCAAGCTGGGGATCGAACCCCTGGCCCCTGCTTCTGTCCAGGCAGACACTTTAATCCACTGAGCTATCTGCCCAGCCCTTACACCTGCTTTTTAATGGAAGAAATACCATATAATTTTTTGGCATGTTTTAAGAGCACTATAATGAGGATTATTAGAATTTATTTATTTATTTAGAGACAGGGTCTCCATATGTAGTTCAGGCTTGCCTTGAATTTACTATGCAGCCCATCCTGGCCTTGGATTTGCAATGATCCTCCTGCCTCAGTATCCACGTGCTGGGATTACAGGTGTGTGCCACCATGCATGGCTATCTGAAATAATTTAACACACATGAATTTTTACAGAAAATAATATTGCATGAGGAAAGATAATATAGAAGCTACCCGGGAGCCTGGAGGAAAAATTTGCCCTGTACAGCAGAACAATTTACTACTACATAAAAAGGAATAATGTGGGGCTGGGGAGATGGCTCAGGGGAATAAGTGCTTCCCTGGCAAGCACAAGGGTCTCAGTTCAATCCCCGGTTCCAAAAAAAAAAAAAAAAAAAAAAAAAAGGAATAATGCTTGTTGAGTGATAGTTAACACTGTCTATAACAAACACTAAATATCATTTATGTCTTCTCCCCTAAAACTGAACATAGTTTCATAACAAGTAATTTCTAGCTAGTATTTAAAACCTCTGATCTCAGCATAGTGCTTGAGCACTAATCCTTTTTTAGCTTTAAAAAATTGTAAAGGGAATAAAATATAATTTAAAAAAACATTAGAAGCAATACAAAATTTCACTAAACAAGATGATGGGAATTAAACAATGGTTGTTGTATCGCATGTAAGTGTCTTCAAATTAATTGTTTAGATTACCAGATATAAGCATGCAGAATTGGTCAAAAAAACTAAAATGAAAAAAATTTAAGCATTAACTGTTCCTTTCAACAGAACAATATAAATCAGCAGTACAATTACGCAAGCTATCTTGAGTATGCACATGTATTTTTCCCTTCTTTCCTTTACTCCTTTCCTCATCCCATTTGTTCTTTCCTTTTGAACAGTTTCTTTCCTTTCTTTTTTTTTCCATAATTTTATTGAGAAACAAATAGCAATGAGACAGTTTCAAATCAAATTGGTAGGACAGTTTCAATAATTATCACATTGCATACTCTCTTCCTAGTGGTTATTTGCTGTACAAGATGCAGACATGATATCCTATTTACAAACACTATTAGAACAAATCCCTCTATTCATTAAGAGAATGCAACTATATATCTATCCTAATCATTTTGAATGCACAGATACAAAAGGGACATTCATCTGTATCCCCTAAAATGGCAGAAGGATTTTTTTTTTTCCTGTCTCAGAATGCCTTCAGGGCAGGTTTCCTGGCTTGAGTTCTAGAGGGGATCGAGCCACAGCAACCCGAGCCTGACTGCTTTGTTTAAGCAGGCACTTAAATAACTGAGCTAATGGGCAGGCCCCCTAGCAACAAAGTGGTTTTATTTATTTTTTGTTTGTTTGTTTTTCTTTTGATGGAACCCTGGATTTAACTCAGGCCCTTGTGCTTGCCAGGCAATTTCTTTCCTTTCACAGTGTCTATTGTATCTTTTAGATTTCATTTACTCTTTCAGGTTCTTACATTAGGGAGACGATATGTTTACACATGCAGGTCTGATTTATTTCATTTATGAGTATGGGCTCTAGTTGCACCCATTTACCTATAAAGGCCTTGAGCTTATCTTTTTCATAGCTGAGTAAAACTCCATTATACAAAAATACCACATCTTTTTATCCATTCTTCAGTTGATGGGACTTTCAGGTGTTTCCAAGATGATGATAAATTGCACTGCTGTGAACATAGGTGTGCACATATTGCTGTGGTATGATGTTTTCAGTTATTCTGGAAAAAATACCCAGAAGGGGAATGGCTGGGTCAAATGTGACTCTTGTTATAACCTGACCAAAGCGCCGCCATCCTGTTCGGTATGCGCCGTCTTAGTGAACCATGTCAGCTGCTGTAAAATGTGACTTCCTGCTTCTCAAGCCCCTCATCCCATCCTTGAGTTCCAATATGTGCTTTGTCTCACAGAACACCTGTTTCCTGAAGCCCCCATCCCACCCTTGAGTTCAAATGTGACTTCTGTTTCCCAAGCCCACCCCAGACCTATAACCATATTTAGTCTCAACAGATACCATGATTTTTTGAACTTCCCGAGTTGTTCCTCCTGCCTGCTTTGTGGTTTTAAACTTTATAAACCCCACGCTCCCCCCCCCCCTTCAATGCACACTTAGGCACTTTGTGCCGGGTATTGCCGCTGGGTAGCAGCTAAAATAAAGCGCTTTTTAAACTTTTGAGCCTGCTTCATTTTTGAGTTACATACTCTAATTCTAGTTTTTTGAGCCATCTCCACACTGATTTCCATAGTGGTTGTATGAGTCTACATTCTCACTAGCAGTAGAAATGGATTTCTTTCGTCCCACAGGTCCTCTAGCATTTGATATTGACTTCTTGATGATAGCCATTCTTTTTTTTTTTTTTTTTTTTTTTTTTTGCGGAGCCGGGGATTGAACTCAGCCCCCCCGGCAATAGCCATTCTTTTGGGGTGAGATGAAATCTGTGTTCTTTTAATTTGCATTTCTTGAAGATCAATGATGCCAAATATTTCTTCATATATTTATTTGCCATTTCTATTTCTTCATCTGACAAGTGTGTATTCATTTTAGATATCCATTTTTTGATTGGGTCTTTAAATTTTGGGGGCCTGGTTCTTAAAATTCTTTATATGTTTTAGGTAAAAGTCCTTTGTTTGAGGGACAGTCAGCTAATTTTCCCAATTTGTGGGTTTTATTTCTACTGTTGGTGATTTCTTTTGACATGCACAAACTTTTCAATAAGATGAGATCCCAGTTACTGATTCTTTGAAGAATTTCTGCATCTGGGTTTTGTTCATGAACTCATCACGTATCCCTGTGTCTTCAAGATTTCTACCTACTTTCTCCTCCAGATTTAGTGTTTCTGTTTTAATACTTAGATACATTTTGACTTTAGTTTAGTACATGGTGATAGGTATGAGTCTAATTTTAGTGTCTGGCATGTGGAAATCCAGGTATTCCAGCATCATTTATTAAATGAACACGTTTGGGCCCTTTGTCAAAGATAAGGTGGATGAGTGTGTTTACAGCTGTGTCTGAATCTTCTAATCTGTTCATGATCCTCTGGTCTACTTTTTGTCAGTACCATGCTGATTTTATCACAGTAGTTTTGTGGTATAATTTCAAGTCAGAGATTGTGATGCTTCCTGCCTTTTCTTTGCTGTTGGGGGCTAATCTTTCACAAAATACAAAAATCACTCTTACTAAAGAGTTCTCACAAAGTGAGACCTTAGAGTTCCGTGCTCAATCTCGAAGACAATGCTTTGACATTTTTACATTTACTGCTCTTTGGAAAACCTAAAATCTCAGCGACTGTATTTCACCCTTTACTTTGCAGCACAAGACAGATGTATTTCCCATTAAGAAAAATGTTTCCTATAGACTGCCTTTAGAGCAGGACTTTGGTGACGGAAGTCTGTAGTCCCATACCTTAAATGTTAGTTTGTGGGGACAGATTATAAAGCCGTAGTTAAGAGCAAAGGTTCTGTCCTCAGAGCTGCTGTTATCTCTTTCCTTGGAGACCTTGGAAGTATTGTTTGTTGAACCTCTAGTTGCACAGCCTAAGGAAAGTACTAGGGGCACTTGCCCAGCGCAAGCAAGAGCTCGTCAAATTAACAGATTTTATTTTCTGCAACCTTCAATGAGCAAACCACAGTTCTGTTTACAGCCTCTTCCAAATATAAATTTTCGCGGCGACTGCAAACGCTTTGATAGCCTCTCTTTAAAAGGTACTAAAATACTTCGCTGCCGTAAGGCACTGTTCTCTTCAGGTCAGTGCACGACACCGCCCAGTTTGACGACGCAGGCCAATCGTGCCGCTCCAGGGCGGTGTCGTAAATCGCGTTTGCGCATGCGCAGGGCGGGGAGACCTTGGAAAAGTGCTGGTGGCGCTCGGCGGAGGTGAAAGCGTTGGCGGAAGGACCGGTACTGAGGGAAAATGCAGAGCTGGAGTCGCGTGTACTGTTCCTTGGCCAAGGTGAGGGCCCACGGCTTCGGCCGCGGGGAGCCCATGTCCGGGCGCGGCCTGCACACGCGGCGGGAGGGGCCGCGGCCGGGGCGCCCCGCGGATGCCCAGGCTGCCCGGCCTCCGGCAGGGTTCGAGTCGCTGGCCCCCGGCCGGGAGGCGGGCCAGGGCCGGCCGTGGAGCCCTCGAAAGTTGTTCGACTGCCTCCCGTCCGCCCACCGCAGCGCGAAGCCTGGGCTCGGCCCGCGGGATACGCGGCGGCCTTCGCCTCGGCAGGGGCGTGTGACCCGCGCCGCGGACGCCCGGGCCCTCGGACCTTCCACCTGATCCTAATCGGCTGATTGGCTGCGTTGGGCGGGTAATCCGAGGCCCCTGTTGGGGTGGCCCAGCCTCGGTCGGGCCCAGCAGATGCCCCTGGGAATTAGCCCCGGGAATTCCTCCTCGGTCCTGTCTGTGTCTGCAGCTGTCGGGCCCACCTAGGGGCTTGTGCTTTTAACCGCAGAGAGTTATTTAGACACTTTTTGCGTGTCTACCAACTACAGGTACAGGGATCAAACTCCTTTGTTTCAAACACGGGGAGCCTGTGTCCCCAGCAGTTAATTTAGCAGGATAGAAGAAGTCGTTCTTTTAAAGAAGTGGAGCTGGGACTAAAACTCAGGACTTGACAGTTTGCTGCTCCTTGGTCTGTTGTCCTGGCCGGAGGAGCAGGAGTAAGAACGGAGAACATTACCACAGAGATTTTTGTCACTGCCTCTCAGTTGCCCGCTGTGACAGAAGCAGGACCTGTTTGCTTTGTGCTTCGCTTTTCTTAGGAAGTGGTAGCCATAGGTATTGGAGATTGTGAGATTATGGTACAGTTAGTGGAAGTCTAGTGTCTCCGCAAATGTGAATGTACTGTATTATCTGTTTTCGTTATCTAATTTTCTGACCCTGGTTGCTCATTCAGGAACATATTCATTCATACATTGTTCTGGGTGAATAGAGACTGTACAGACATAGTAGGTTAGAGATAGGAAACAGTAGTTAACAACTAAATGGATTGGTTATTGCTTATCCAAGTATGGCGTTTGAACTTACAGAGACTTATTATGATGTTAAAGTGACCATTGAAAATTAGCCATGGTTTCTGAAAAGTGGATGTATTTTTATTAGGTTAAGTACAAAACAATTTTTTTTAATAACAGGACTGTGATCGTGGGAAGCTAGGCTTGTGGAAAAGCTGTTGTTATTGCCACAGAGGAGAGAATGGTGTTACTTCTGCGTGGCAGTAGATTATTAATAATCAGTGTTTGATATATTTACTCAGACTTGTGTTTTCATTAACTTTCGATAGTTCTGTGTTTTGCATCTGTGTTTTACATAGTAGTAACATTTTCCTTTTTCCTAGAGAGGGCATTTCAATCAAATATCTCACGGCCTGCAGGGACTTTCTGCAGTACCTCTGAGAACTTATGCTGATCAGTCAGGTAAGTATTTAGCACAGGAGTTTTTAATTAAATTAGTTTACAATTCTCCTTTGTGTGATGATGGAAAAATGAGTAAATATTAGACCAACAAGTAATCTGTGTTGTCTTTTGCTTAATCACTTAAATTTTATTGCACCCTAGTAGTAACAAACTGGGCAAAGCCCTGCTTTTGTGAAACCTACAGGGTGATTAAAAGCCCCCAAAATACAGCATTATATAGATAACAGGTAAACATTTTAGGAAGTAGTTGAAAATGAAAACAAAGAGCAGGGCAGGACAGAGACTAAGAATAGGATGCCAGTGGAAGCCTTTCTGAGGAGCTAGGTCTAAGCAGGTGTCTGAAAGAGGTGAGACAGTGAAGTTAAGACAGCAGTGAGGAAGGTGTGAGATTTCAGGAATAGCAAGAAGGTGGATGTGGTTGGTGCAGAGACCCAAGGAGTGGGAAGTGAGGGAGTCGTAGGCATCAGCTGATGGGATGCTTTGTTAACCAGACCAGCTGGTGTAGATTTACTGCATGTGTCATGGGGAAGGAACCACTACAGCGTTTTGGTCGAAGGGACAATTTCATGTGTTTAGTTTTAAATTTTAATTTTGCCTACCAGCTCTGGTGGTGCTGGTTGTTTTAACACTGTTTAGAGTGGTGAGGTGACTTTTAACATCTGAATGGAAAGTCTTGATGGATTTTTGATTTTTTTTTTTTTTCCTTATTTTTGAAATTTCTGTGAAGGATATATATTTTATTTTTCAAGCATTTAAAACAGGAGGCAAGTTTGAAGTTACTGAGGTTTCTTAACGTATATGTGTTGCTCTGTCCCTTTTCTCATTTTATAGGTGGAAGAACTGGGTCTTAGAAACATTTCTGGGAGGATCCTTTTGGCTCTAGTCCCTGCACTAAACCACATCTCATTTTTCCTCCTTAGATGAGTATTGGTTGACCAGCTTGAAGTAATTAAAAATTCAGATACAGACTTTGTTACAAACATCTGAGAGGTGTTTGAATATTCTTGTGATTTCAAGTTTGTCAGGATTTGCAGTTTTGTCTGTTACTCTAAATATGGTCTTCCATTTCACAGTAGGAACAAATTTCTTGCACTTAATCACACACATATTCCTTGTCCCTTTATATATTCATTATTTCGTCAGCTATTACCTGCCATATGCTAACTGTACTGAGCCAAACTGACAAGACTGAACTTTCATAGTGTTCACAGTTCACTTGGAAAAGATGAACATCTACCAAATACTTATAATTGTGACAGGGTAGGAAGCTATGAAATCTGTACGTGGATTGGGGATAGTTATAGTGTGTGGAAGATTGAGAGTTGATTTCTCATAATTATGAAAGGGTTTAAACTTCTGTATTAAGAGCAGCTGGAAATTATTGAATACTTTAATCAGAGACATAGATTTATTTTTAAAGATCACTCTAGTTGCAGAATAGACTTCTTTTTCTTTCTCATTAAACTATGAGAACTAGAGGTGTATCTTGTCTGTCTGTCAGTATTAAGAGCTGAGAGTCATGTTTGTAATGTGAAATACATGCATTTAGTTCTAAGTAAATGGAATAGAGTTGTACGTAGGTGGACCAGTATAATTCTGTTTATATCAGGTCACTCTTCGTTAAACGGTGTATTGTTGGGTAAGCAGAATATTGTGGGCGATAATGATTAGGAAATGGTTACTGAAAAGGTGTGGGTGTTGTACCCAGATTTTTCCAGTGAAGAGGAGAATAAGAACTGAGTTGAGCTTTAGCAGGGTAGCCTATAGGTTGCAGTGCAGTAGGGTGTTACGGAGGGTGGGGTATGTGTGAGGATGTGAGCAAGTTTGGAGACTACAATAGTAAAGTTGGGAGTTGCCTCTGAGAAAGGAAGTAACCTTTACTGAGCATGAAATATTCACCTGGCACCTTCTTAGAATCTTGCCTTACTTTCTGTCTGGTTTTCACAACCCTAGGCTCTGGGTATCATTTTTGCTATTTTGTATCTAAAATCAAAGGCCAGAGAGATTAAATAATTTGTCTTAAAAATTTAGGGCTGATAAAGGTCAAATCTGAGCCCAGTTTTATTTTGCTTCAAAGCCTTCATTATATTTCCCTTTCTTTATGGACTAGGAAGTTGTAGGGTGATGATAAGAAAGTGAAATATTAGAGTTTCGGATTTTAGAGCAGTTTCGGGTGAGAGCAAGTACGTACGCTGGCAGTTTATGAAGGGCCTCTTCTGGCCACACATATAACTTTGTTGTGTCATAGCCCTGTGAAATAGGTTTTTGTAGTCTCTTGTAGCTGAGGGAACCACAGTGAAGCAGGTTAAATTACTCACCTAAGGTCCTATAGCTAGTAATTGTAAAGCTTGATATTTGCCCTGTGGAATTTCAGTTTGTCATGGCCGAAAGTGAGGACCAGAATAGAACTAAAGAGTACTAGGGGTACAGTCAGAAAGCTTGGTTTTGTATCTGTCAGTCCTTTGTTACACCCTGGGCTGGTCATCTGTCCTCTCTAAACCTGTTTTTTCTTTGAAATGTTAATATAGGGGCTGGTGAGATGGCTCAGTGGTCTAAAGCACCTACTTAGAACAAGCTTGGCAAAGCATCAGGGACCACGGTTCAACCCCCAGCACCACATGCCAGTCAGCCCCGCCCCCTGGTGGGCTGAGCTGGCCACACACACACACACACACACACAAATAAATAAATTTAAAAAAAAGAAAAGAAATGTTAATATAACATGCTTACCATCCTCATGTTATGGAAAGAGTAAGTCACTTGGCCAAGGTCATATAGTAAGTGACGGCTGACATTTGAAGTGTAGTATATCAAAGTCCAAAAGTGAAGAGTCTTTAACTCATCAGTTGATATTAAATCTCCAAAATTTAGCAAAGTCCCAAGTATAAGGTTAGCTTTATAGAGCTTAGTTGTATTTCTGAATAACATAATGTATAAATATAAAATAGAACATTAAATTGAAAATTTGTGCCATTTTTAATAGCATTGAAGACCATTAAAGACACATAGAAACAAGATAATACTATATAGAAAATGTTGGTTAAGTGTATACCCTGGGATATGTAGATGCCAGGTTTTTTGTTTCTCTAAAAGCAGTGTTGTGGTAAATACTTTTTAGATGCTGTTAATGAATTTTATTTTTTATCAGTACATGTTTGCTGTACATAATGGTTACATTTATTATGGGGAGTTGGTCCATCATGTACCCAGTACATCTAAACCCTCCCCACTGCCCCACCTCCTGAGCCTCTATGCTCCTTGCAACTCTTGGTCCCTTTCCTATTTGCATAGGCTCTTTTCTTTATTTTTTTTCACCCTCAGTTCTTTTTGTTCCCTTTCCTCCCTTCAGCTCTTGTTCTATCCATTTGAAAAAGATCTCTCCAACTCTATTTATCTTTATTTTGCTGTAGATATACAGAGAGGTGGAAAGGAAAGCAGAGAGAGATAGAGATTGATTCTGATGATGTAGTGGCAAGCAGAAACACGAAAAGGACACCCAGGATTTGGAGGCAGATTTATTTATGCTAACAGGCACTGATTGGGGTCATTCTTAAAACATCAGGCCCTGATATCTGATGGTCTAGAGATAAGTAGAAAGTACAGAGGCAGAATGGCTTTGTCAGTTGGGATTGGTTCTTACAGTCATCATAGTGACCAGCTATGCATCAAGCCTTTTCTAGGGAATGGAAGCACCCAGAACTGGCACAGGAACTATTACCTGGACAACTAAGAAACTGAAGTATACTGGCTGGGGAGCCATTTTCTGTTACAATGTAAGAGAAACCATGAGCTATTTAAGTGTTATGTTTTACTTACTTAATATTATGGGCTCAGGTTGTGTCTATTACCTATGAATGCCTCAGGTTTATCTTTTTGATAGAGTAGTACTCCATTGTATATAAATACATTTTTTTGTCCATTCATCTGTCGATGGACATGTATAGGCTGGTTCCCAGAGTTCTTTAAATTGTACTGCTATAAGTATAGGTGTGCATGTATTCCTGTAATACGATGACTTTTGGGAAGACACCTAGAAGGGAAATACTTAGGGCAAGTATAATTTTTAATTTTAGTTTTTTGAGGACTTTCCATACTGATTTCCATAGTGGTTTACATTCCCATCAGCAGTGTAGAAGAACTCTTTTTTCATATATTCCTGCCAGCATTTGTTGTTATTTGATTTCTTGATGTGATGATGCCCATTCTTTCTGGAAAAAGATAGTAAGTATCTCAGTGTTTTTTTTTTCTTTAGCATTTCCAGGATGGCCAGCATTGCTGAACATGTTTTCCTTTTCATGTGTGTTGGCTGTTTGTACTTCTTTTGAGAAGTGTCTGTTCATTTTAGTTGCTTGTTTTTTAAATGAGTTCTTGGTAAATACTAAGCAATTTACTATTTTGTGTATTTGCTTTTATTATAGTTGACGCTGATGTAACAGTGATAGGTTCTGGTCCTGGAGGATATGTTGCTGCCATTAAAGCTGCCCAGTTAGGCTTTAAGGTAAGGGGTACGGTTTTCAAACTAGATGTATAGGCATCATGTACATTATTTGTGATAAATAGATCATATTCACAAAACCCTTTGCAGAAAAACATGATATTTCTTAAATCTATAGATTATTTTGTAAGCCTAAAACTATGGGAGAGTTTGTTTGGTTTTAACATAGAATGTGAAGTCCATCATTGTTAACTTCCCAAAACTTTTGAAATGCATTTCTGATTATACTTTGGAAGATACAGTGATAGAAGTGAAACCATATATGTATATGGTCTTCTTTTAGAGTAATTCACTTTGGGAATACCCCAGATTTCTTACTCAGACGATAAAGTTTAGTTTCTGAAAACCACAGCATGTAACTGAGTTAAGACATGTGTTTGGAATTTTAGTTAATAGAAACATTGCAGATTATATGTGGATAATAATACTTTCTTTGGTTGTAGACAGTCTGCATTGAGAAAAACGAAACACTTGGTGGAACATGCTTGAATGTTGGTTGTATTCCTTCTAAGGTGAGCATGCATTTTGAACAGGGCAGACGGTTTTTTCCCACATGCCACCAACTACACAGATATGTATTATCAGACCAATACAGTTAGTAAAAACTAAACCCAAACACAAAAAGTTGAAAAGTTAAGAACCACAACTTTTCATTATGAAATGAGTACCATCACTAGCTGACATGTTTATGAAATAGTTTCCTTGCCTCAGAAAATCTAATCTTTTTCATTCAGATGATATTTCATTTTTTTCTCTAGCTTTCTTTTGCCATTGAAGCAGATAATTAGTAAATTCTACATGTAGATTCTTATGTATATAAACATACTACCTTTTCTTTTTTTAACCTGCAACCTGAAGTGTGTTCTTACGCTTTTTTTTTTTTTTTTTTTTTTTTGGTATTTTAGTACAGGGTCTTCAGGGTCTCACTATGTAGGTTGGACTCATAGTGATCTGCCTGTGTTCAGCCTCCCAAGAACTAGGCCACCACGTCCAGTCTCAGTTGCTGTCTCAGGACGCCCTAGGAATGCGGCCGGTGTGGCACTCTGGGGATTGAGCCCCAACCGCTGCATCTGCCTAAGCAGGTGCTTTAATCCACTGAGGTATTTGGCCGGCCCTCTTATGCTTTTTAAGAGCAAGTAAAGCTGTTTTTATTTTTGAAGACAAGATCTCACTCTATAGCCCAGGCTGGCCTTGAACCTTCAGTGATCCTCCTGCCTGAGCCTCCTGAGTGCTGGATTACAGGCATGTGCCACCATGCCAGGCCTTGTTTTTCATTCTTGTTGGTTGAATGTTTTTAATGTCATTATTGTTTAATCTTAATTATAGAAAACAAAAAAAATGAACAGGTGTAGTCTTACGTACTGTTCAGTGTAGGAGAAATTCATCTGTTTTTGATTATAGGGAGTGTTTTTGATTATAGAAAGTCTGTTTTCAATTATCTGTTTTATGTATAATTGATAATTTTTTTGTTTCCTTTAGGCTTTATTGAACAACTCTCATTATTATCATATGGCCCATGGAAAAGACTTTGCATCTAGGGGAATTGAAAGTAAGTATACTTTTTATATTTACAGTATTACCAGGCATGCTTGCCTCTTCCTTCTGAATACTTGTGTTTATTATATTTGGATAGCTCTTTAGTGAGAGGTAAAAAAAAAATCTTAAAAATATATAGATATTTAATTGAGTGGGGTTTTTTTCCATAATTTTATTGAGAAACAACAGTGAGACAGTTTCAAATCAAATTGGTAAGACAGTTCCAATAATTAACACATTGCATACTGCCTTCCCAGTGGTTGGTTGTTGTACAAGATGCAGAAATGATATCCTATTTACAAACACTATTAGAACAAATCCCTCTATTTTTTGAATTAAGAGAATGTAGCTATATATCTATCCTAACCATTTTGAATACACAGATACAAAATGGACATTCATCTATATCCCCTTTTTTTGTTTAGTTCCATCATTTAAATATTATAGGTGTGTGAACTTAGCAAAATATTCCAAAGTAGTCCACTAGTCCATAATATTGGGTCTTCCACTTGACTGGCAAAGTCAGAAGTTGTTGACCTGAGTCTCCTACAGCTCAACATAACAACATGGCTTTATTTCTTGTACTTCATTTTTATACTTTTCTTCTGGATGGTTAAGACCAAGATAAAGCAAGACCTATGTAACAAGAATTGTAGCTTTTGGATCTGATAAGGTCAGTCAAATCCCCTCAGGCTTTATCCTAAGACCCTATACCTCAAATTGTAGATCCTTTGTCAGTGAATTAAGAGTGTTTAGATTCAGTCCTACCATGATATGTCTCTTCCTTTGCCCTGGAGTTTACTGGTTTTGGTGTAGCTAGAGAATCCAGGTTTCATTTCGCGGACACCTGTTCATCCCTGGGAGAGTGGATTTCTGAGTGCTGTGAGCAGATAAGGAAGGAGGGCGGCCAGGCAGGCAGACTGGCTGACCTAAGTTGCTGGTAATGAAAAAAGAGAGCGAAGGTTGAGGTAGAGCAGAGGGAAGACCTTTCATACGTTTGACTTTGGTACATCTTGGCCTTTGCCAAACATTTTTGGACCATTTTCATTCTTTCCAGTTACTCTGTTTACAAGCTATTTCCAGGACAGTGTTTTAGGAAAGACCTAAGTGTACTACGGGCATTACTTCCCTTCATGTGTTTCTGTATAGCCCTGGGTTTCTGGAAGAAGGGGCTGTGTGTAGGTAACCTACGGGGTATGGAGGTGGTGTATGTACACTAAGGCAAATACATTAAGCTACCTGAAAAATAGAACAGTGCTGGAAAAGAAGAGATAGCAGAGCTGTGCATTCCAGCTCTGTGACCCTGAAATGTCAGAAATCCCTCAGGGCCTGTTTCCTCATCTCTAGGATATGAGTTGATTAGGTAAGTGATTTCTTTTTTTTTTTCCTTTGGAAAAAACACACAGCCCCTTCTTTCAAATACCATGTCAGGGACTGAGCCCAAGGCCTGGCACAGGCCAACCAAGCTGAGCTGATTTGTAAGATAGCCTTACCTCTAAGGTTCTGTTGAGTTGAGCATTTTTATTTACCTTTGCTTCAGAGTGTTTTTCCTGAGCTAAATGAATAAATAGGATCTAGTTGATGAAAGCAAACTTTTGTATTAAGCTTCTGTATTTGAAGAGTTCAAAAATGTACTTTATTAGTTTTTGCTTCGTGAAGTTTATCATTTCCCTTTAAAATTTCAGATGTCAGGTGTAGTACACACATGTAATCCTAGCTCTTGGGAAACTCAGACAGGAGGATTGCCATGAGTTCATGGCCAACCTGGGCTACTGTCTCAATTACTGTCCTCTCATTGCTGGGGCAAATACCCGACACTCAAAACGAAGGAAGGAAAGGTTTATTTAACTCACAGTTACTGGAGGTTTCAGTCCATATTAAGCTGGGTCCAAGGCAGAGCAGCACAAAACAGAAAACAACTTTTCATGGTGGTGGCAAAGAGCAAGAGCACAAAAGAGAGGTAGCAGCAGCTCAAGCTTCCAGCTTCTCTTCCCACCTTACGTTGAAATGTAAATTATGTGCCCCAGGGCGGGTACAGCATCCACACCCACAATAATCACAAACTCCAGAAGCTGCCCCAAGACTGCATGAGGCTTTGGGGGGACACCTAGACACAAACCATAACAGCTACGTGGTGAGCTTAAGGCCAGCCTGAACTGCATAGTGAGACCCTGTCAAAATAAAATAAAATTTCAGGTGATGTTTCAGTTTAGCATTTTTACTTAAGTATCTTCCAGGTTAGTAACTGCCATCAGGTATTTGAAGAGTGTGTCGCGGTGGGATATAATATTGTACTTTAGACTGCACTTTTTGCCCGAATGTATATAGGTTCTGCTGTTGTAATGAGTCAACTTTTTATGATTGTCAGTTATTTTATTTAAAACTTTTAATACTATCTTTGATACAATTGTAGCAGCATTTAACTGAAAATTTTCAGACCTTAGTAAAAATAGCACACAGTGTTTTAAGAATTTAGCTAAGAAAAAAAAAGGATTTAAAGATTTATTTAACAAATTACAGTGTCTGAAGTTCGCTTGAATTTAGAGAAGATGATGGAGCAGAAGACTACTGCAGTAAAAGCTTTGACAGGTGGAATTGCCCATTTATTCAAACAAAATAAGGTTGGTATTCAGTGTATAGGTTTCTACTGTGTGATAATAGCCATTAAACATTGTATTGTGCTAATAGAAGGATGTTACTTGAACTCGACTGCTGGGGGAATACTGGCTTAATTTAAAACAGTGCTGACCTGAAATAGATTTCTTGACATATGTAACTAGTTCTTTGCTGATATGTGTGTGGCATTACTGAGCAGTGGAGTATGTGTATTGCATGTTATTTACACAGTATTTTTTCCTGTTTGTTCTATTTAAAAATCCCTTCACTTTTGTGAATTTATAAACATTATTTTATAAAGGTGGTTCATGTCAATGGATACGGAAAGATAACTGGCAAGAACCAGGTCACAGCTACAAAAGCAGATGGCAGCACGCAGGTTATTGATACAAAGAACATTTTGATAGCTACGGGTTCAGAAGTCACTCCTTTTCCTGGAATCACGGTATTTATGCTTTATGATTTACAACTGTTACAACCTTCCGTAGAAGAAATTTTTATAAATTATTTTACGCTGTGTGTGAATTCTGAGTCAGTGATTTTTTTTTACCGAAACACTGTTTTGACAGTCATTCACCTTTGGAAAATTGTCTTTATTTAATGGATGAAGTTAAAATCAACTCTTGGTTTAGAAGGCTGAATAATAAAATATACAGTTATCATTTTTAATAGGAATTGATGAAAATTGGTATATAGAAATGATAGGTACCTCAAAACAAGTTATTGACTTTGTATTTTCAGAGATTTTTTTATGGAGTGAAATTACTTTATAAATACTGGATTTTTCCAAGTAATGCTAATTGTACCTTTTCCTTTTCTTATCATAGATTGATGAAGATACAATAGTGTCATCTACAGGGGCTTTATCTTTAAAAAAAGTTCCAGAAAAGATGGTTGTTATCGGTGCAGGTGTAATTGGTGTAGAATTGGTAAGTGGTGTCTTTTGTGTTACAATCTCTATAGGGTTAGAAAAGATTTAAAGTTCCAGTTTGATTCTTTAACATCTTAGGCTAATCATTGCTGAATTTTGCTTAAACACTGCTAGTAATAGTGACTCTCCTTTTTCTTCTAAGACAACCTAGTTTGGTAACCTTGAGTCATGAGGCCATTCTTTTATTTTACAGTGTGTTTCTTCTACCCATTCATTTCCTTGAAACTAGTCTAATTCTTTTTGATTATGGGGCATGGTTGCACACCCCTGTAATCCTAGCACTCTGGGAGGCTGAGGCAGGAGGATTACTGTGAGTTAGAGACCAGACTGGGATACATAGTGATTTGTCAGACTGCGCTGCATGGCGAGACCCTGTCTCAAAAAACAAATAAGAAAGTTGGACAGCCTTTGAGATACTTAAAGACAGTTTTCACTCTGAGCGAATTGCACTCCAGATACAGACCATGTTCTGTACTGTGGTATACGTGATACATGTCTTCCCTTCCTCTTACACAAATCAGCCTGGCTGGCAGTCCACTATTCTGTAGTTGGCCTCTGCTGGGCTGTTTGGTTTCCTCCAATGGTACCATCTTCCACTGCAGCAGCTGTCCCTGACCTCCTAAGCATTTTGTAAAAGAGAAATTGCCAGAACAGAGCTCCTTCAGCTTGATGCCTCAGATTGGAAGATGTTTTTACTTGTCTTCACAGCTGTCCTTTGCCTGCTGTCATGTCTCCAACACTAATCCCTTCACCTGTGCTTGGTAGGGCATCATCATCTTTTACCTTCCCAACAACTTAGTTTTGTGATTTCTGAAACAAATTTTGCACTTGCTTGATTTCTCAGTCCTTAAACCTTTTCTGCTGTACCTTTTTTGCTTATAGTTGAAAATATTTATGTATAGTGTGTACTGCACACATGTGCTCAGGTACAGTCACACGTGCAGGCTCTTATGTATGTGTGCACCACCTTGTAAACTGGGTCCTACAGCTATTAGTAACCCTCCAGTTCCTTCACAGCCAAGCCTCTGCAAAGCATTGTCCATTCTGTTTCATCAGGTCTTGCTCATTCTTCAGTCCTTCGTTTCATGTGCAAATAACTGCTTCTGACGGGTCAGTGGGTGCATTGCTGAGTCTGGTGGACTGTGGTCATCACTGTTTTGTTCGCTGCAGTTAACCTCGCAATTTCTTCTGGATTGCTTTCTCTACCTTCTCTGATTGCATACTTTGCTGGTTTTACATCCGTCCTTTGGGGTGGCTTCTATGCAAGTCGTTTTCCCAGCCCTCCCCTCACCTTTTTTTCAAGACCAGAGATTGAATGGAGGGCCTTTTGTGCTGTGCAAGGGCTCTCCCACTGAGCTAGAACCCCAGCCTTCAGCTTTCCCTTTAACTGTTAGTATTACTCTGGAATCTGAGAGCAGATTTTCCAGACCTTTTTATTTTTCCACAGCATATCCTCATCGTCTCTTCAGTTAGCAGAGGACTCTCAGTCTCTGTAGCCTGATCTTCTCTCCATGTCTCAGGATTTTCATGTCCAGATGGACCAGCGTCTTCACTGTGTGTCTTGCAGCCACTTTATTCATTGAACATATAACTTTTCTCTTCCTGTTCTCCCTCGTGGTCCCCAAGCAGAACCAAGCCTGTTTCTCTTCTAACACTTCCCATCCCAGGGAACATGCTGCCATCCATGTAAAGGCCTAAGCAAGATGTTTCATGATTTCCCCAGCTACCCTCCTGTCCCACACGCAGTCGCTGGCTTCTAACCTGAGTGTACCTAATGGCTGTTTCTGGAGTATGTTCTCTGTCGTTCATGCATCTGATTAGATCCATATTCAGGCCAGACTAATATCTTGCCCTAGGCCTTTAAGGCTTCTTTTGTCTTTTTCTGGACTATTTTCCTCACATTGGCTAGAGTGTTTTTTCTTTAATAATTTTGATTCTGTCCCTCCCCCTGTTTAAAATAATAGCTTACTGTGAAACCCAGACTTTGTGTTGTTTACAGATCAGCACTGTTTATAATACAGCACTGGCTTCTATTTCCACCCTTATTTCTAGTCCCTCTCCTTTTTATTTTTATTTTTTTAATTTTTTTTTTGTTTCAGTCTTTTTTTTTTTTCCATAATTTTATTGAGAGACAAATAGCAATGAGACAGTTCCAAATCAAATTGGTAGGACAGTTTCAATAATTAACACATTGCATACTCTCTTCCTAGTGATTATTTGCTGTACAAGATGCAGACAAGATATCCTATTTACAAACACTATTAGAACAAATCCCTCTATTCATTAAGAGAATGTAACTATATATCTATCCTAACCAATTTGAATACACAGATACAAAATGGACATTCATCCATATCCTGCTTTTTTGTTTTGTTTCATCATTTGAATATTACAGGTGTGTTAACTCAGCAAAATATTCTAAAAGAGTCCAGTAGCCCATAATAGTATTGGGTCTTCTGCTTGACTGGTAGTGTCAGAAATTGTTGACCTGAGTCCCCTACAGCTCAACATAACAGCATGGCTTTACTTCTTATGCTTTGTTTTTATACTTTTCTGCTGGATGGTTAAGACCAAAATAAAGCAAGAGTTGTAGCTTTTGGATCTGATAAGGGTCAGTCAAATCCCCTCAGGATTTATCCTGAGATCCTGTACCTCAGATTGTAGGACCTTTGTCAGTGTCAGCCATGTGGATGAGTCACAGCTATTGCTTGGCCAATGTGCTCTCTGTGAAATCCCTCTCCTTTTTAGCCTGTGTTCTCGGTGTATCTATCAGTCAATGAACAAGCCTTCTCTGCCACTTGGTAGATGTTCTTGTGGCTGGCCTATCTCTTACCTGCCCTGGTCCTTGCTCTCTTGTGAGCCCTGCCTTGACTGCCTTGATTACCGTAGAGGAACTCAGGTACACACTGAGTGTTGCATTGCATGCAAAACCTTTGTTTCTTGCAGAAATTAATATTACTTATTCACTGTGACTTCATTAAATCCTACCCCATGAGGGTGGGGATCATCGCTGTTCATAATAAGTACTTTCTAGCCTTCCTTATTGGGCAGTAAACATTTGTTGATAAATACTTTTCAGAAATCAGTTAAATTACCTTTTTAGCAAAGACTTTTTTAGAAAGTTTGTCTTCTTTGAATCCTTAATATAATTTAACTATAAATTTAATACATGTGGAGGCCTGGCCCTAGCTCAGTCCTTTAAGTGGCTCCTTCCACAAAGCTGTCAGCCTCAGGTTGCTGGAGTTCGAACCTCACAACTCTCCTGCTGGCCAAAAGTGCCCTGAAGACATTCGAGGAACAAAAACAAAAAAAAAAAAAATTAATACGTGCTACATATCTCCTTAACAGAATCCCTTAAGATCAGCTTATTTGCTTCCCCCCCCCCCCCCCCCTTAAGCAGACATATCAAGCTTGGGGGCAGTTAAAAACCTTTTTTTTTTTTGTAACTGTGCCACTATAAACATGGGTGTACATGTATCATTTATTATGATGTGGGGAGTTAACTTGAGTTTTTTGAAAATATAATCTAGATACTAGTCCTTTATCAGATAGCTTGTCTATTTACTATTTTTCCTTTACTAGTACAGGTACTACATAGGAGACCTTTGTCAAAAACCAAAAATACATGACTAATACACCAACAGCATCTGGCGTATTATTGAGAATACACCAGAAACTTTTTAATTTGATATAATCCCATTTGTTGATTCCTGATACTTTCTGTATTGTTGGAGTTCTGTTTAGGAAGACTTTGCCTATGGCTTCAAGTGTTTTCTCTGTTATTTTCCAGCAATGTTAGTTTCTGTTTTTATTCATAGGCCTTTGATCCATTTGATTTGATTTTGGTACAGGGTAAGCAACAAGGATTTAGGGATTCAATCTTCCACAAGTAAATATAGTTTTTCTACTACTGTTTGTTGCAGAGATTTTTTTCTCCAACATGTGTTTTTTTGTTGCCCTTGTTGAAAATCAGATTGCTATAGGTTGATGGTTTGTTCCCCTCCCCTCCCCTTTCCTCCTCTTTTTTCCTCAGGGCTGGGGAGATATCTCAGCAGCGTAGCACTGGCAAGCACAAGGTCCCAAATTCAATCCCCCATACTGCAAAAACTAAAAAACCAAACCAAAACAAAAAATCTTTTCTTTTCTCTTCTTTTCTTCTTTCCTTTTTCTGCATCTTGTATTCTGTCCTGTTGGTCTCCTTGCTTGTTTCTGCATGAGTACTTTGCTTGCTTTTGTTACTGTGGCTTTGTACTACAAGTCAAAATCCAGTGTTACAATGTCTCTAGTTTTGCTCTTTTTACTCAGGATTGCTCTGGCTCTTCTGATTCTGATTTTATTTTTTCTGATTCCATATGAATCTTAGTAATGTCTTATCCAATTCTTTAAAGGATGCTGTTGGTGTATTATTCATGTATTTTTACTTTTTGACACATGGTCTCCTGTGTAGTTGAAGCTGGTCTTGAACTCACTAGGGCTACCAGATTGGCCTTAAACTTGCAGCATTCCTGCCTCAGCCTCCCAAGTGCTGGGATTACAACCATGTGCCATCATGCCGGGCTTCTTGTTGGTATTTTAATAGGGATTCCACTAAATCGGTAGGTGATATGTCGTCATCTCCATATTCTTTGATTTTGAGAACAAAAGATATCTTTTCTTAATTTTTTTTTTTTTTCCTGTTGAATTTCTTCAGATCTCATAATTTTCATTGCACCTCTAGGTTGATTCCTAAGTTGTTTTTTGGGTGTTTTTTAACTTACAAATGGAATTATTTTCTTCATTTCTTTCTTGGTGGGCTCATTACTGGTACACAGGAACATTTGATTTTTGTGTGATGATTCTGTATCTTGCCATTTGTTTATCAGATCTAAAAGTCTTCTGATTGAGTTTTGGATCTTCTATGTAAAGAATGTTATCATTTGCAAATAGAAATAATTTCACTTCTTTTCCTATGTATACCCTGTTCTTTTTTTCTCTCAGTTACTCTGGGCTAAGTTTTTA